GCACCATAGAGCAGGCGGCTTACGTAGCAAATGTTTGTTTCTCATAGGCCTGGAGGATGGGAAATCCAAGATCAAGGCACTGACAGATGCCATGTCTGGTGATAGCTTGCTTCCTGGTTCATAGACGGCCATCTTCTCAACTGGAGAAGTTAAACAAAATATGTCCTCAAAAGGCAGAGGCAAGGCAGTCTCTTCTAAGAGCCTCTTATAAAGGCACTTATCCCACTCATGAGGGCTGCACCCTCATGACCTAAGCATCTCCCAAAAACACCCCTCCACCCTTGGGTTAGGAATTCAACATATGAGTGCCAGAGGGTGGGGGGGAGATACTGAGTCCACAACACTCTCTTCCTCTCTCTTCACCTAGGAATCTATCAGCTCTCACTTCATTGTCAAAGTAGCTCTTACCATCAACTTTATTGTCTTTGCTTCTGCCCAGACTTCACACTGTTTTCATTTCTTTCAGCCAGGAGAGTGAAGGCTGAGCTTTGATGAGCTGTAGGTATATATCCTAAAGATTCTATCTTGTGCTAAAGACAAGGTATTATCATTCCATCTGTTTTTAATGGGCCATCACCACAGTGATAAGATGTCCTGTTTGAAGAAGTGAGCTCAGTGCGAATCACCTCCCCATCCCTAGTTCTCTTTTACTAACCTCTAATTTATGTAAATATTCACAAGGTTGTGTTTATATGCTCCCTACCGTGCAACCCCTAGCAGATTTTTCAACAGCTATTCCTCATGTTTTTTTGCTTGTCTCTTAAAGACTTGAATATGTGATTTTGGTTCTATGTTCCTTAGAATGACATCTAACACTGCACCTCCACCTAGAGGCACAATAGGCTGGGGGGATGGGGGACAAACCAAAGCCATGAGACTCCTCAATCTGGGTGCACAATAGAGTTCTCCCAGTCACAATCAAGTGCCCTTGTTTAAGTATCTAAAACACAATGTTTTAAAGTGCTGTAGACATGGCTGTTTGAAGGAACACTGAAGGGTGCAATGGAAATGATGTCTGTATGTGTCTGTGTCCTAGTCTAGGAACAAAGCCACACTCTCCTAACCTTTGTATCCTCTTTTCTTACTTTGGCCCTGATATTTCTCTATTTCTATTTTCTTATGCTCTTTGAAGCCACCACAACTCCTTTCTGGAATAAAACACACAAAAAATCAATGATTTTATTTTAGTCATAGAAATAGTTGCAATAGTGTATCTATTACTTTTAGGAATAACTAAATAACAATTGTATAATTTATATAGTGATTTAACTTTTCTAAACATTTAATTAATACTTTTTGAAGGAATCTTACAGAAAATCTTTGAGTAAGGATTCTTTTTAATAGATGAATTAAAATTTTGAGACATAACTCCCAAGGCCATGCCCTTAGTCACTATTAACAGTCAAAAACAAAAACAAGAGCAGCAGCAGTTCATTAACATTGCTGATTGCTAATCAGGACTTAAATGCAGGTCCCCTGACGCCAAACCCCAGTTTTCTTTATACATAACATATCTCTCTAGTATCACTGAAAGAAACTAAGTTACTGGGTTACCCAGAAGGAGGAATAACTAAAGCCTGAGCCTATGCTATGCATCGTTAGTCACTAGCTTATGACAGAATATTCACTTAGTTGCTCAGTTCAGTGTTAACTGTCAAATCACTATGTTGTACACCTGAAACTAATATTGTACGCCAACTATACCTCAATAAAAAAACAAACAAAACAAATCAACTGATAAATGTCTGGTATAACTCACTGGACATGAGTAAAGCATAACATACTGGTACAGAAAATGCTATAGAGCTACAGAGCATTGTAAACCCTTCCCCAACTCAGTCTTCCAAGGGATTTCATTTTTTATCAACCTAAACAATTTTCCATATATACAATGGAAATCAATGGGAAAATAAGACCCCTGTCCTTGACTTTATTATACTAACAGATGAGATTTCCCATGAGGGTTCTAATTAAATGTTTTTGATGCATTATAATTGTTCTTCTAAATATCTATTTTTTAAGAGATATTTCATTCTTTCATCTGTGGCTAAACCCAAGTCAATGAATTTCAACTTTCAAGGGAAAAAATGTATTTCCATGAAAAGGTTTCAGATTTTGTGACCTAAGATAACAGCGCTTAGCCTATAGTTGATGCTCAATAAACTTCTGTTAAATAAATAAATACAGTGCCCACCCAAGAAATTTTTGGTTTCATCGTGAGAAGTTGAATTTACAAAGAGAAGTTAACTATTATTTCACTCTTGACCACATGGAAGAAAAGAACTTAACATGACAGAGAAAAATAAGTATAAATAAGAGATAAGTTGCTGCTTTTAAGAAGATGAAAAATTAATTAAAACATATAAATAGTATAAAATGAGAGAATATGGTAGAGGGCCACAAAAACTTACAAACATAGCTTAATGTGGGTTAGAAATGAGAAAATATTTTATTCAAGTAGCAAAAGTATTTCATGGAAGCTGTTTTACCAGAGAGCTGTCCCAAGGGACTAGTGGAATTTGAACAGGTGGAGAAAAAACAAAATGACAAAGGATACATATGAGTTTTTAAAATGCCAAATTGAAAAAAAAAATCAATATATCCAAACAAATACCAGATTAAAAATAAAATGGAGATGAAACCATTTATGTGGCAAATATGGTAAAATAAAATGAAATATTATACATAAATAAGCAAAATATATCCAAAAACCTATATGAAAAAAATATTTAAAGATTCCTAAAGGATACAATAGTAGACTTGAACAGACATTCATTCCATTCTTATATTCGTACCTACATTAATATAAATATAAATAATAAATAAATGCACAAATATAATGTGATCACAAAACAAAAAGACAACCACAGTCCATTTTACTGGCCTGTGGTAGGAGTCGGGTACAGTTTGGCAGGTGGAACCTCTTGGTCACTGGGCTTCAGAGGAAAGTGTCTGTGGATATGACTGAATGGAATTGGCACAAAGAGCCCCAGCCTAGGGAACCCAGTGACGGGCACGCTAGTAGAAAGAGTTGAGTTGTCACTGGGCCATGTTCACCCAGTCCAGGCCTGCCGTGCTTCACCACAAACTTCACTGTAGCAGCCTGTGCCCCCCAGAGAGACAGAGAGACAGAATCCAGCAGCATGAGTGTGTCAGCAAGCAGCAGCGGCCTCCGGGGCTTTCCGCACTTGAAAGGGGAACTCTGACTTACACTCAAAATGCCTGCTGAGTTCTCAGTCTGGGAAAAGGGGTGAGAGAGGGCTAATGCCCACCCTGTAATCCTCGAGGAAGTCTTGAATCAAGTTTCAATCTGTTTAAATTGTGTATCTGAACCCATTTTAACATAAAACTGGAGAACAAGGGGATGATGAGAGGCAGCCACTGCCTTACCCTGGATTCCCTGGAGAAAAAACTTCTCCAAGTGGGGTTGCTTCAGTGTAGAGTGAGCGCAGCAGCACTGCGCAGAGGGGCAAACAGAGCTGAGATGACAGTCCCACAGAGACTATGGAGCTGCAGTGGGCCTGCAGAGTTGTTCGAATTGAGCCAAGGGGGCCTTGGTACCTCTAACTGACCAGTTATCGGGTGGGGTATGTTGGTTCACAAGCCCCTCAAGGTGCTTCTCAAGTGTATTCTGAAACTGGCCCTGGTGTGTGGGGGGCACATAGACCTCGGAAGGAAGCAGGCCACTCCAGATTAGCAGGTGGCAGATTTAAAAAGCAAAGAAACTTGCATACGAGGCTGGTCTTCCAAGGCTGCAAAATGAATAGATCTCCATACCTGCCCACTAGAATCCCAAAAGTTTCTATAGAAACCTTAACTAGGTTCAGTCATGGGACCATCCAGATGGTCTCAACACCACATCACTATCTCAAGCTTGTGTCCTCGGGGCAGCCTCTACAAGCAAGGAAAAGAACCCACATTCCAAGGATGAGGAGGGGGAGAGGAGCTTCCAACTGTGCAGGTCCTGACAAGGGTCATCTGGAGGTCATGTCCTCTCCATGACTCCTCCTGCAGTTCACCATCCTCAGGCAAATCAGCTCCCTCTCACAGGCAGAGGGGCGAGGATCCCAGAGGGACTCAAGTGGGAGCCACCAGCAGCCAGCACACCAGGAACCTGAAAGAATGAATGGCTCATCCCTGAGGGAGGATCTGGGTAGTGCACCACCGCTTCCTTTGCAGCCACACCTGCAAATGGTTTTGAAGCCGCTCGTGCTACTTCTAGGTGTCTGCCCAATTTCATCATCAAAATTATGAAATTAATGCATCTGCACATCTCTGTATCTTCCACAAATTTTAACACAGTGATCTACACATATTAGTTACTCAATAATTATGTACTGATGTGCACAGAGTTTCTCAGACTGGGAACCAATGCAGTAATCAGATCATTAACAGTGATAGGGGAGCCAGGAGGGGAAGCCAGTTTGAGAAGAAAAGGAGATGAGGGTGGTCCATTTTAGACAAATCTAATTTAAAGTGACAGTGGTGCAACTTGGTAAATATGTTCAAAAGGGATCTAAAAGGTAGGATAAGAGTTTTGAGGATGCTTCAATGCTACACAACAGAATTTATGACATCTTTTTCTCAGTCCTTAAGTGTAAGAAAAAATATCTGTGGGTGGAAAGTGAAATAGGAGGTAAATATTTCCCCCTTAATATATTTATAAAAGATAACAGTATAGGTAAAATAAGCATCAGGGTAAAACGAAATAAAGGTTGTGACCAGAGGGGCTAGGGAATAATTCTACTGCATCTATCTTGGGATTCAGGCTTCATAAGCAGGCAATAGGTGACATGTACAAGAATAACCCTAATTTCCATGCTCCAAGTCCTCACCTATGTAAAGAGCAAAAAGTATCAGCTTTCTTATGTAGGACATCCTCTCCCTAAATATTACAAAATTTTCCAAACGGTGCCCACATGAATTGTTTAAATGGCCCCTAAGCCTTACAAGGATAGGCCCTTGATGAAAGTATTCTCTCAGTCTCCAAGGGTGGAGAGGGTACTACAGAAAGTGCTCACTGAGCAAAGAGTTCATCAAACACCATCACCACCACTACTTACAGCTCAGCGGTCCTCCTGCTCCAGTCTGCTCCAGTGACACCAGCCTTGGGCCTCTGCCCGCCTACAAGGTGCTCTTTCAGGACCACAGGCCCCCAGATGTCCATGCTGTATCATCCTCTCTAGTTAGCAGAGAAATTCATTCACTTTTTTGTTCACTTCTTCAGAGATTACCTCAGAGTAGAGCTGTTGTTATTCCTTCCCAGAGTTCATGAGCACTAACATATTGGGTTTAGCTTCCTCGAACACCCAGCAAACATTGGTGGGGGTCAGGGGGAACTGTACCTGCACAGGTGGCCTCTCAGAGTTCCAGCCAGGTTGTCTTTTCTATACATGTTAACGAGCCATTGTTCCATTTTCCCATGGCTTCTTCCTCTTCCCATGGCTTCCTTTGGTCTTTATGGGCAACCGAAGTGCAGTGCTAAAGTGTGAATCTCACAGTAATGTCTCCCACTTGATATGTTGAAATGGACTCTAGTAGTTTCCATGCAGTTGGCAAGTTCAGCTTCAAAACAAAAAGTGCAATCCATTTTCAATACAAAGAGATAATGTTGTCTGAAAGCCTGGGGATAACAGTTAAGCCCATTGAAAATCAATACAAAGCCCTTTAAAGGCCACCATTCTCTTTCATGACATTTTTCTTACTGCTGGATGTCCCATACCACTGGGTAGCCAGACAATAGGATTGATTTTTATATAACCCCCGTAGAGGAACATGCAACCATTATAGGGAAGGTGGAAGGGCTAAGGAGAAAAGAGAAAATGGATTTCTATGCTTCTCCCTAGCACAGCTCCACAATTCTTTTGCAGGAAATAACTTGCACACATACAGCATTTGGGAGCAGTGTTTTTTAGTCCCTGTACCGGAGTGCTGGATATCCAATCCAGATATCCCATGACCTTACTGGCTTCCCAGCTCTGCCACTAATTTGCACTGAATGGTGCCCTCTCTTAACCTCTGTGGGTATAAACTGAAGAGAAAGATGTCTGCCCATCGTAGATCAGCAGCATGCTCCAGGCATATCACCCACTAAGTCAGTATAATAAAGTAGGTAAGCACTTCAAAAATATATAGATTTGAAAATGAGGGTTATCACCTTAACTGAGTTTAAGAAATCATTAAAAATGTCCAAAACAATGATTTTTAATCCTATCCAGGGACAGGCACAATAAAGCATTCCTCCCAGTCAAGCAGAAAGCAGGGGAAGAACAGCTGTTCACCTTCCATCTGGGAGCCTGACCCTGGGTCAAGTCTACTGAATGTGACTCCAGGTACTGCCCTTCTATAGCTGGCCATGAATTTCCACAACAGACTGCCTACTTCCACTCAGCTTCCACGTTTGACAGGGAGACCCCTCTAACCATCAATGCCATCTCTCAGATAGTATCTTTATCATGCTGGCTCTGCCATCTAATAGCTGACATCATTTGGCCATAAGACCTCTCTCTGATGAATAAGTGGTCAAAGTCCATGGTATTCTGATGTCCATATCCATAGGTTGTGATGAAAACATTCATTTGAACAAAGAGAAGTATACAAAACATTTTTAGGAAGGTAGGAAAGCAGGAGTTTTTAAAAGCTAGCATACCAATTCAAACTAATCTAAGTTATCCTAAGAAAGAAAGAAAAATCATCAGTAAACATAACAAAGAACTATTCCTCCAAAGAGTAGCTGTGGAAAATATCTAAAAATAAAAGACACTGATAAATAGTATCTGGGTGATTACCCACTATCCATGCTGTGCCTGGATATTCAAATTTACATCCCAGTCAGATGAAACCTTCCTGAACTAGTATGTGAGTTCTGCATCTTCTTTTCAAGAGACAATCATCAACTTAGAAAGAAATCACCACTTTTTCCTCTGTCTTCCCTCCTTGCTGCCTTTCCTCACCCAGAAAGAGCAGAGCCAACTGGGGAAATCAGGAGGGCTTCTGCAGGAGGTGGCATCTGGGATGGGCTTCAAGATGTTGGTAGGATAGAAATGTAATCTGAAGCAGAAGCAGCACTAGGGAGATGCTTGGATGTTGGGCTGTAGATGTTATATTTAATGAAGGCAAAAAAAGGGATTAAAAATTTTTGATGATAAGAGGCATAATGAAATTTCTACCATAAAGCAATTAATTTGGAATTGACATAAACAATGGACTGGAAGAAACTTAAGTTCAAGAGTCCAGTTAGGAGGAGACTGAAACATTCCAGAGAAGAGAGTGAGGAGCTGATATTCTAACAGTGAGACCAGGCGGTGAGCAGACAGAATCTCCAGCCCTTGGCAGCCAAAGAGATGTGTGGGAAAGAGAAAGGGGGAAACCAGTGACCGTGATGTCAGTGATAACGGCTGAGCCTGCAGTGCCATTAACAGGAACAGCAAGGTCAGGCGGAACGTCATTTAAGGGAGCTGGAGAGAAATGGGGACAGAATTTCCATTTTGAAAGTGTTGACTTTAAATGTGTTTCCTGGCATATAGATAAATAAATCAGGCAGATGTTGAAATGTGAGCCTGGAGTTTGGGAGAAAGGTATTCAATCAGGGGTAATGAGGTTCATCTATACACAGAGTAGTTGCAGCCTAGTGAATGGATAACATACCTATGGAGAGAACGTAGACGAAAAAGGGAAAGAGAAAATGGTAGGGAAGGGAAGAGAACACTAAGAGTACAAACTTAGAGAATGACAGCACTTAGAACTATTTAGATAAATCTTACCACATTTATCACACTGTCAAGAGGTTGCTTAAAGGCAGACTGTCCTGCTCACAGTTGGAATCCCAGCGCCTCCCACAGTGCCGATAGACATTTAATAAATATCATTGAATAAATAGATGAAGTTAAAGGGGAAAAAAATTAAAAAGAAAGGGAGAGATCCAAAAGAAATCAAGTAAGGCAATGTCTCTACAAGCAAGGAAAAAAGAACGTAAAGGATAAAGTTATCTGCTGTATCATTCCCTGCATCAAAATCAGAAAGAACCGGGACTGAGAGAAGGCTCCTTGACATGGCAATGTGGAGCTGATTCAGACTCTCAAAGAAGTTCAGTAGACTTCAGTCAGGTGATCTGGATAGAGAGCACATTGCACTGGGTTAACTGGGAAGCAACAGTTTAAGGAAAGAAGGACAGGCTAAGTGCTATACCCTAGTCTTGAAAGAACTTCAGCCTTAGAAACGAGGGATGATAGGGTTTAGCAGAGTCACAGAGTCAAGGGAAATTACTGCTTCAGGCAGAATTTCCTAAAAGGTGTTTACAGATCTTAATAAACATTACAGAAGAAAACAAAAGAGAAAATGTGGATTTTATAGTAAAACAATTTGGGGAGTTAGAAAACATCTTTTCTTTATTGCTGAATTTCTGAATTTTTTTAACAAATTATGATTCTAAATATTCAAAAGGGAGATAATAGTAAATAGGATGACTCAAAGTTATTTGACAAAATGATCTTTCCACTGACTACCTCCCAAAGCTAGTGTTAGGTAGATAGACTTTGGGAAATACGGCTTGAGGAGAGAGAAGATAATTTTATAAGCTGAGGAATAACAGGCAGTTAAAAAAAGAGAGATTAAGGAAGTATTAGATAAAGGGATACCTGATGGGAGAAGGTGCCAGAAATTGCAAAAAACATGACAAGAGTGAACAGATGGGTGACAGAAGGATGTTCTCTCTTCAGCTGTCTGAGTGAACAGGAGTGGGAGAGAGTAAAAGATGCCAGCAAAGTTCACATGGATCAAAGGAAATGGAGGCAGGTGGTAACTTCATTCTTTTCAGTAAACAGGTTAAGTGCATGGAAAAGACAAAGTGCAGGGTTGAATGAGGGAAAGAGAGACATAAAGCCCCTGGGGTCTGGAAGAGGGTGTCAGGAACAGGGAAAGGCAAAGAAACGGAGGTGGGTAAAATCAGTTTCAAAAATGTGCTTTCTTAGCTGTCAAAATTATATATAAACTTTGGCCTAAAATTTTCACTTTAATGGAATTTACCCCACAGATAACACTCAAATAAGTCTGTATTTATATATACAAGGATATGTGTTACCTGTATAGACAGTAGTAGAAAAATTTTTAAACACCTGTATGTAAATTGTTTGAGGGTAGTTAATAAATCAGGCCATCCTTACAGCAAAACAGTAAGTAAGCAGACAATTAGAATGTGCTGACTTGGACAGATGTCCAAGATATTTTATTAAGCGACTACATCAATTTATAAAATAATATGTATAGTATGAACTCATGGGAAAACAGTATATCTGTGTGTGTGTGTACAAAAAAAAATCTGGTGGTTGCACATCAAAGTAGGCACTTGTAGGCTATAGGTTTAAGGGTACTCCAGCTGGAAAGAAAGGAGAGCTTTTACTTTTAACTGACTGTCCCTCCCTTTGGGTGATTTCCCATGAGCACATATTATATGTATAATTATTACAGCTTGTTCCTTCTCCCCTGCAGCATGACATTGCCCCCAGATCCCAAGAATCAGGGAGAACTCTCCTGCTGTGATCAGGCCCTCATAAATCTGAGAGCCTCATGAATTTGATGAGGGTCCACTTAAATTTGATGACAATTCACTCTGTGGCTTTGGAAAAGTCACCAGCCCTTTCTGGGTCTCTGATCTTCAGTAGATGATCACAGAAATCTCATCCAGCTCTAAGTTTGTTTCTAATTCTACAGCAAACAAGACTATAAAAGGCTCTGCTGGGTTACAAACCAAACACTAATTTCAGAGGCAAAGCAAGTTTTGGTTTCCAATAGGTAACAAAATGGATTCCTAAAACATCAGTGTGTTTATAAATGAAGCCTCCTCATGCTTGACTAAACACCTGTAAAAATACAGATCTGGAAATCATTTTCACAAAAACACAATTTTCCTTAAATTTATCTTTTATTATTGATCTTCACTGAGCTCGTGATTTCTCTCTCATTTTTATTTTACTTACTTTAAAAAAGGAATTCATTGTCCTGTATTCACTTTCCAGAAAATCCAATCAAAATCTGCTGCTACAACTAGAGTGCAGATGTGTCTTATAACCACAAGGGGTCAGACTACTACATTAATACAAACTAATCCCAACTTGAAAAATGGTATTAATTGGTTGAGGGCTATGCCAGTTTATTTTCCTGCATAAGAATGGAAGACAGGCCATTTAAATTAAACATCACATAAATAAGATAATGAGCAAGAATATATTTGAGAAGAGAGACTCAGACAGTTGAAACTATCATATATAATAAATATAATATAATAAAGAAGGTTCATCCTTAATAAAAATTCCAATTATTCACTTGCTCAGTCTGGTTGGCAAGATATTACTCCAATCTAAGTGAATTCAGAATGGGGGATTAATTACTGAACTGGGCAAATGCTAAGAAAGCAGAAACAACTAAAATTATGAAACTCGCAAGAAAAAAGAAGAAATTCTCATTTTTAAAGGATGGACCACGTGATTAGCTGAGGACTGAGATGGATGGCAGAAACATTTTTCTAATGGATTTCAGCCATGATAATAATAAATCTCAATCACTGTACT